ATTGTTGTTAAGTCCACATAATGCTTTCTCTCCAAGAACTGACAGTGTGATGTAAGGAAAGAGGCACATTAAATAATATTATTCACGTCCCTTTGCCCTCTGAACCTTAAAATTCTTCAGTGCAATCTCACTGGGACCAAGTAAGCTCATTAATAAGTTTATGGTCTTTATAGTGCTGTCACATTAAGTAAGCCACATACTTAGGATAAGGTGAGAAAACTTTCCATTTTTTTCACTTCCATGCTTATCCATACTTATCTAATCAGGTTTACAAAACGCAATGGATGAACCACCATATATGCACTATAATTAACAACTAAGTAAACGGACAGCAGATAGTGGGAGCCACGATTCTCACTGCTGGAGGAGGAGGTTACAGATAAGCAAGGGCAGAAGCTAGAATGATTTATGGAGTAATGGATTAGAGCCGGATACATCAGTATGAACTCACGTTTAGCTCACTGGAGACACGATGTTACATATGGCAATATTTAGAGACATACACATAAACACACACCTACCTCCTCACTCTACAAGCAGAGGGGGCTTAGAAATTATGGCTCTCCAGTACCGGTGGTGGCCGTAGCTGCCACCTAGATCTTGGCTTCTAATACCCTCCTTCAGTAAAAGAGACTAGAGCTCCTTGGAGAAATGACTGATTCTGCGACTGGGGTAGGATACACAAAGCGAGCCTAGAGCATCCTATAGTGCCAGAAAGTTAGGACATGCTCAGAAACAAACAAACAACCACATCAAGGGGGGGTTCATCAAAGGGATACAGGAGCCTACTGAAGGAGCAAATAGCAAAAGTTGGAAAAATTGAGGAATAACATATAAGGCAGTAATGGACTGCAACTCAAAACATAAAATAAGTATCTGTGAGCATATACGAATGGGGAAAAATTATTGTATAAATAAATGGGGAAGAAGAGACAAATCTGTGCAGGATTTTAAATAATCTATTTAGATGCTCCGCCCATAAAGAGATGGAGCATGACTCCTCACTCAAGTGTCAGTTGTGCTTAGTTGACCTTCTTCCAAAGAAGAATTTAGGGAAACAAAGAAAAAGAGCAGCTCTGCAGTGAGGAAACCTCGGATCACTTTACGCTGGGTGATTAAGGTTGACAGCAGCAGTGGTGAGCGGTGGTGTTGGTAATACACACTTGTGGTACACGACGCGAACGACACGTTACCTCCCCATACCGGCTAACACCAGCCTAGTCATCAGAAAAGCAGAAGGCCTACCCAAATTGAGGGACATGGTACAAAATTCCTGACCAGTCCTCTTCAAAACCGTCAAGGTCATCAAAACCAAAATCTAAGAAAACTCCCTCAGACTAGAAGAAACGAAGGCAACACGATGACTGAAGATAATGTGATGTCTCAGACAGGCTCCTGGAACAGAAAAATGACCGTAGGGACAAGCTGCAGAAATCTGGATCAAGCATTGCTTTGGTCAATAGTGTATCAGTATTGGTTCATTAGTTATGACCAATGTACCAAACTAAGATGTTCACAATAGGGGAAACTGGGAAGGGGGAACAAGAAGTGCGTACTACGGTCACAGTAATTCTGTCATTTTAAAACTATAATCAAATGTTCGTTTTAAAAATGCCATGGAAGTGCTTCGCTCTCAATAATCTATCCACAAAACATTCCGACTGCTGATAACTTTAGGAAAGTCTCTCCGAGTATTGGTAGCTCTATCAATTGGCTAGAACAAAAGTCAACTGTAAAAGATAACCTCTATTGTGCCTGTTTGCCTGACTTCTTTAGGGCCAGATGGAGCCCCCAGTCCATCTAATTAGACCCCCTTTAAAGGCAGGAGACACGAAAGGGAAATAACTGGAAATGGCATCTTCTGTTTCCAAGGTCATCTCTCCATCCCTGAGAATCCTGAAACCTTCCCAGTCTGAGTTTTGATCCTTTGACATTCGACACAGATCCCATGAATGGCCATCAAAAACATATGAAGGGAAGAAAAAGAGGGGAAAAAAACACCTTGTCTTTTCCAATCCATTTAAGATTTGTTAATCTGCCACACGTCCTGTCAACGATGACAAGCAACGTGAAACTGCACTGTGTACGACAGACCCACTGCTACCTCTGCCACCTGATGGGACGGCAAATGGGGAAATGTCATGTTTGCAGAAGAGATTCAAGAATGAGATTGTAAATGCTAGGACCATTGAGATGTTATTGATGTTAAAGGAGGTGCCTTTCAGGGGGAAATTTTTTTCCCCATAATATAGGCTATAGTACAGAATGGCAGATGCTGGCTTGACGCACAGATACAAGAGGGTTCAAAAATAATTTTCCAAGGTAACAAATTCTCAGTACATCATTAAAATGGAGTCACACTGTATCTTTCTGCATGATATCTCCTTTTGTTTCACTGTGATTTACATACTATAAAAATACAGAGATCTTTGGTCTAATGCAATGTTGATCTATGTATCTAGTTAATCATCTGTCTATCCATCCATCTACCCATCCAATTGTCTATCTACCTACCTACCTATCCATCCCTCCATCCAATTATCTGCCCATCCATCCATCCATCCATCTAATCGTCTACCTACCTACCTACCTATCTATCCATCCATTTAATTGTCTATCTATCCATCCATCTAATCATCTATATATCTGTTTACCTACCCATATAGCTATATCTCTGAAAGTTGGTGATTTCTCAGGCCTTTGATGAATCAGCTGGTGGTAAACTTCTTTCCAAGTGCTGGAGAACAAAAGATTCTTAGTGCAAAAGTGAGTGGAAACGAGACTGAGGGAAGATGGTGGCTTGTGTGTACAAGGGAGGTAAGGCACTATAAATATGAAATTTAAAGTACTAGTAATCAATTGTAGTTATATACATAATTACTATGTATATAACTTATGTATTATTGTATATAATATACAATAACATCTCAATGTCCTAGCATTTACAATCTCATTCTTGAATCTCTTCCACAAGCATGACATTTCCCCATTTTACTGTATATAATATACAAGATATACAGCGTGTATACAATATATACAATGTATTATATTATTTATATCAACATACTATATATTAATATAAATCATATATTATATGCCACATTATCATAATATATATATGAGATCAGAAATTAGTCCAAACATTAATAGATGAGAAAGCATAAAAACAAAAATTTTTGGTTTTATGCTGAGAAAAGAATAATAAAGTGAAATAAGCCTGGGGTAATAGAAAAGAAAAACTATGCCCTGAACTTTACAACCAAAGGGCAGAAACGGGGGGGACATGAAGAAAGGTGGCCTGGGATGGACGCTGGGGGCTGTAAGTCACCCTTCTACACAGTCACCCAGACAAGCCCTGGCTGGCACGTTCACTCCACTGGAGCTGCAGATCTGCCTTTGGAAGAGAGGATTTGCTCTTCACTGAGCATCAGCAGTTCAGCTACTCTGTCCTTTGAATTCCAAACTAACATCTCTGGCCTTACTTCTCTTACCTAACACATGGCATCTCCCTCTCCCTCTCAACACCATACTCCTAACTTGATGTTTTCTAGAAGATTCACCAAAAACCCTACCCCGCCTCGCTTGAGTGCAGGTGCCTTGATTTTTCTTGAAGTTCCTGTGCTGTGTGTTGTGCTGTGCGAACATTCATCACACCCTCTTCTTCCATGTGTTAGATGATTAACTATTTGCTTTACAGGGAAAGTCTGGAGCCACTGAGCCCCAAGAGGGGGAATATCACTAAATCCAAGTATTCCCAAAATAGGGATACGATTTCGCAGTTAAATAAATTATTAAAATCAGGTGAATAACTTCTTTTTATGATGCAGTGGCTCTCAATTTCACAGCTGTAACAGAGTAGATGGCAAATATCAAGTACTCTGCTTGGATTTTCTTTATGGAGTCAAAAAAAAAAACAACCCACCACTCTACACACTTAAAAATAAGTCAAAACCATACTATTTCCTTTGGAAAGAAAAGACTTTTACGAACTGTGACCATTCTCTCAAAGGAGCCCGAGTCCTGCCTTCCATCTTTGGAGTGAGTGACCACATTTCCTCCACGTGTCCAGCTGACCAGATGTTTCTGGAAGGAACATACAACTACCTTCCCTCCAGCACAGAGGCCTTTGGTCTCAGAGTAAAACTCACAATTTTCTTCCAGAATTCTTGTCCTTCTCAACTCCGTGCTTGAAAAATGCAGTGTCTGTCCTGAGACTGTTTTCAAATCTAGAGAGACAAACTTACACAAGTAAAATAAGACTTGTCCTTCAAAGCGTCCCCTTGGGTTTTCCGCACTTCCTCAAACGGCCCTGTCATTGTTCAAAACAGTCCTGGGAAGCCTGCTTTGGGTATTGCCTTCACACGAACATCAGGCTCAACTTCACGGCTCCAAATTGTTTATGATTAATAATGCCATTTCCCGGCTTAATCATTTGCTTGACAGCAGATCACTTCCGGCTTGAAAAAATGAGGTCTGATCTCCCAGGACAACGATCTGCCACCACTGAGGAGAGTCAGAAGAATGTACGAAGGACGCTGAAGGCAACCAGACACGGAGACATTCCGCACTTGGGCAAGGGCCTCGCTGGAATACGTGCCTAGCCTGTGAGCGTGCACTGGGGAAGGGCTCGCGTTTATCTGGGGATGAATGCTCCGGTACGAGTGATAACAAAAGAAAGGCAAAAAAAAAAAAACAACAAAACCGACCATATTACTTTGTAATTTCATTTAGAAAACTTAATTGTATGCATCTGGAAACCTTACTCTATTTTAAATTTGAATAGCTAGCTAAAAATGGGATTTCTTTTTCAACATTCCTGGAAAAAGATGTTGATCAGAAATTTCCATTTTTAGTTGTTTTAATTCAAAACCACTAATCACCAAGACTGTGTAATAAAAATTTGTTATGAAGTCTTATTAATTGAGGAGAGAAATAAAGCGGTCTCAAGTAAGGTATTTTATCTCAAGTCCCCGCCCCCCCCAAGAAAATCCACTTAGACATATAACCAAATGTTATTTAATATCTTAAAAAGTAACACAATCCAAAATGGATATTTCACACAACACTACATAAACAACATGAACACAATATTACCATATGGAGGGACTTTCAAATATAGACTTACAAAAATCCCTGTGCTTTTTTTTCTTTTAAGTTATTATACTAAGCATGACAAGTAATCATCATTTACAATATGGTACACTGACACGATAAAAACCATGTTACAAATGTGCTGTTATAAATCAGTAACATTAGGGAAGACATTTCATGAACTGTAATTATTTCATATGAAATACTATACAATATAAACAGAACATCCATCTTGGATGACCTTTACAGCAACCAGAGACCAAGTAATTTAAAATTTTTTTTTCAGTGCAAACACATTTTATTCAAGGCAGTCTTGGCTGCAAAACTCCTTCCTAACATACAGTAAATCCCACTTGCACTTCTTAATTCATTTACCCTAATGCAATAGTCACATTCAGTCACTCAGAGAAAGATACCTGCAGAATTATGATCCCTTTAAACTGAACGCTGGAATTTAATTCTCTTCTAGGAAGTTGTACCTATGTCAGCTACTCTAAGGACCTTAATTTGCAGCTGTCAGTAACTTACATGAAGGTGACTCTAGGGCAGCGCTGGTCCTAACCCATCCTGTGTGCACAATACCACACACGGCTTTGCCCTTCCAATGTGGAAACCACGGCGGTGCATGGGGATCTAAGTTGGGGAATGGGGAGGCAGGGAGGCGGGACCTGGGAGGAAAAGCAGGCGAGGAGCTGTGTGTACTGCAAGATGAATTTCCTGGAACTGCAGAGGATTCGTGTTGGAGGAAATCTCAGATCTCAGATCTGGTATCTCTTTTTGGTGGGTGCAAGGGAACAGGCATGCCAAAACCAGCCTTTTGACAGAAAGGGAGGCAGCTGTCTGTGGACCAACCAAGCTTCCAACCTTACATTGGCTTCCAGAGTCATCGCTGCCTCACCTGGGGAACATCCCTTCCCTTGTTAGCAGGGGTGTGTGTGTGTGTGTGTGTGTGTGTGTGTGTGTGTTCACATCTGAAGCCAGCAACAAGCAAAGAAAGCCCTGGAGCTGATAATATACAACCATCAGAAGAAGGTTTAGTCCCCCTTGAGCCTTGTAGAATTCTGAACCTTGCAAATCAGCAACTGTAAGTCCTAGAACAACTGTAAAAACACAGGATTCTGTGTTGGCAGAGCAATCGCTGGGGAATCCCTCTCTGGGATGCTGCCGCAAAAGATGACGAGATTAACTCCATCAGGGAGAAGCCAATGTCTATTTCCCACACACCAGGAAATCTAATGACGAATTCTCTCATACATATAATTTATGAAATGTATCCTAAATAAAAATCTATGGGAAAATATTGGATGTATCCTTAATACTAGTAAAACCTTCTGGGAGAGCTGACAGAGTGACAGCTGATTCTTTTGTCTTACTTGGCAAGGATCAGACTGATGGTAATCTCTATCCTGCCCGTATTTTACTAACCCAGAGCAAAGCAGTATTTCCCATGGCTTTCGCATTCATCTTTCCTGTGTTCTAGCTTCTTCAAGCCCTAAGTGTGTGCAGAAATCTGCTCACGGACAGAAGAGTGTGGTCGGGAGGGGCCGGTGCTGGTGGCAAGGAGGGAGGAGAAGGGATCACTTCTGCTGGGGTCCACTGTCGCCTGACAGCGTGCTGCTAACTGGTTCTGTGACTGGCCTGTGATAACGGAGAAGGTCCCCATCCAGGATCTTTTATCTCCTAATTCGAGGAAAAAACACTTAGAACTAGATCAGCTTCCCTGGGAAATCTAGATTCTTCCAAGGAGGGCTCAATATTATATAGTACTGAATTCCTGTTGTGCTAAGCAGCACGGTGAAGAGTACTTGCTAAAGTTTTTAATGAAAATTTCTGTTTCAGCACCTTCCACTGCAGGGAGCAGTCGTGTTCCTGAAAGACGGTATTTGAGCACAGGATTTAGAGAAGCCTGATATGAAACTGTAAACAAGGGTGTACGTCCAGATGGACCTTGGACCGCAATGGCATTCGGGTGGATTTTGTAAAATACCCAACACCCTGAACTTTTTGAATGAAAATGGACAAAGGTGTCAAGTTGTATCCGTTTTCTTTGACTTTATTAGCACACATCAGAAAAATGGCATTGTATTTCGTGATTTCTCGTGATGGTCTATCAAACATAGAAAATAGACCACTGGTAGCTGCCGCTGTGTTTCTGGGTAATCTTATGTCACTCCTTCCTTCTTCATTTCAAGTATGGGTTTTACAAATATGACCTGTTTTGTTAATCATGAATCCAAACGCTTTGGAAGCACTTTGAGATCCCAAAACAAATTTGCGAAGTCATCACAGGTTGTTGTTGGTTTTTAATCAAGCTCCAAATACTGCCCGTGTTATACACATGGTGAGTTTCCAAAATATGATCCCTATTGTATTGTGAGCAATATGCTTATAATTTAAGTTTAAAAACTTTATTTTCAAGTACACTTTGTGGTGATAAGTGGTTCATCCTGGGTAGAATTTTACAAAGCTGTGCCAACCTCAAAAAAAAAAAGCTTTCGTTATCACTGAACAGGTTTTTTTTTCTCCCCACGGTGACTATAATATAATTTAAATTTATTTTTTAGAAATGCTGGTTGGGTGGTGAAAAAGGGAGGTTTGGGAACAGCTGGTGTTCAGATCATTTTTCCTCCAGATTAACTTTTAATTTATGCCTCCTGAACTTGAACTTCACGTCAGAGAAGCAGTCATTTGTTATTTTTATCCAGCTAGCCCTCTTTTAGCTTTTCTATTTGTTTTCTCTATTTGACGGCACCCCCACCCCTTTTCATATGCTCATGAAGATCCCCTGAGATGTGCAAAATATATAAAATGAAGTCCAAAATTATGGAACAGAAGTTGTGAATGCATGGCACAGCTCTTTGAATTCAAATGATGCCTGGGCTCAATATGGTCGCATGCAAATGAGAAGGCAGAGAGGGCTCAAATGCTTCAAAGTTGGCAGTCCAAATTTCTCGGGTGTCTTGTGACCGAAAACCTGGACTTCCAATCAGATTTGTATAGGAGTAAATAGCTGGCTAAATTATGTTTACCAATTGGCTCTTTGCCAGAGAGAACTCTTAGCAGGAACAGGGTGGGGGCGGGAAGCCAGGAAATGGAAACTTCCTCTCATTCATCACAAAGTCAAGGGGGCTTTGCGGGGGCTGGAAGAGGGGAGACAGGTTGACGTCTGAGAGTGAAATAATGCCGTTAAAGCAAACCATGGCGATGGGACAGTCACGAGTCCACACAGGCAATCACTGACACACAGACAACACCACGGCCTAACGTGTCAGCAAGTTTTTCAACTTGGCTCTTCTGAACAATACACTTGAACGCGCTGCTGCCGCTTCATCAAATTTATGGAGGTAGTTCTATGTCAAAAAAAAATTACCATAAAGTAATATGCTGTATCATAATAATACATAAGTGTGCAAAATGCCGACAGATGTGTTGACCCTTTAAAGTTGAACGCTACACCGAGATTCAACCAGATTCAGTTCTGTAAACCTTTCAGTCGATAAACTCGAAGTGAAGTCTAGAGGAGCAGCGTGGGACACAGAGCTGTCGCCTCACTGGAGGAAAAGGGTGCTGGCAAAGCCTGGAGCGGGCCCAAGGGTTTGGTCACTGAGGACATCACTGCGGACCATCTTGGGTCATATGCATCATGTGCTTCCCGCCCCCTCTTGTCCCCCATTCAACAATCCCGATTCGATTCCGATGGGCATATCTCTACTTGGAACGTCTGCTTACATCATACCCTCTTTAAAGTCCATCGTTTCTATGCTAACGGCTGCTGGTCTAAGGGAGTTTTGTTTTGTTTTCTTTTTTCTTTAAATCATGTATCCCATAGCATCAGGCAAAGAGCTTACACATTTTATTCGAATAACGTCTTCTGTAAACCTACGTCTTGTGAAATATCGATAGGTTCCTATTTTAAAGCTTCTCTTAAAGGTAATGCTTTCCTTTCCTGTTCACACAGTATTTGATTATTATAATGGCTGCTTGAGGAGGGTTGACTAGAGGCTGATGTATTGTTTTGATGGTTAAAATATTTATGAACTCTAGAATGACACATATGTGAGGGTAGGTTTTGGGGGAAAAAATTTAGATGGAAAAATTTAGTAACTCTATGGTATACAACTCTCCAAAGAAACAGATACATGATCATTCCTTCTGGACACAGTAAAGCCATGAGACAGAGCGTTTCTGAGCAATCAGGGCATGCCTTGGAGGAAATCCGGCATGAGATGGAAAGTCAACTGCTTAAGCATTTTAGTGATGTGAGAGTTAACCAAGAAATGGGCTTACGTTTCACTACGAGCACAGAAAAGGAATCTTTCCTAAACTTGACGAGTCCTGTTTGACCCAACAAAACTTCCAAACGGCTGAAGAAGTATGAGGGACTACCCAAATGTTTCAAGACTCAGTCCCACTGTGTACAGGACACCACTCTTGAAACAGACTGCTAGTGATTCAACCTAATACCAAAGCAGAAGTGGTTTACAAATTTTATGCCAATTCCTGAAATCTGAGGTGAAAATATTTTAGATTTATTTTTGGATCTTTATTTTCTGTTTTATGGCTCCAAACATCACATGCCACTCAACTAAATAAATAAAACTTCTTGTCAGACCGTTTACTTGTGTTGCATGTAACCCTTTGGAGAATAATTTTCCATCAGCTACAGATTTATTCCATCATTCTCATAAAATAGGACATGGGAACTTTGAAATCTCTCTTTCCTAGCAGACTGAATCTTGATTATTCATAATCCCTTTGCTGCTAAGAAACTTCTTTGTATTCAACATAACATCGGAAACCGAAGCAAAATGTTAACAAACCATTTTGAAGTAAGCTGGGCTAAAAACTATACATCCGCCTAAAAATGCCTCCTGAAACTGGTTACAAAGTATTTGTAAACATTACTCTGGCATAGTTCATGTATGCATAATTGTTATTCTGATAAATTTTAGGGGTGTACAAGTTAGGATTACACTACACTTGCAGAATGATCACATTCTGTTGTTAATTACATGGGCACATGTGTATTTCTAATCAAAAATTATTTTAAAGTTTTCTCTATAGATATCTTCCCAGGAATAAAAGGCCTGAAGTTCAACTCTCCCTAAATTTGCTCTTTCCTATAACCACTAAAAATTATCTCCCATAGCCTAATTTAGGCATTCTATTTAAAACTACATAAAATAGATTTATGTCCTTCCATTAGAAAGAATAACGTCCCAGGCCACAGTCTTCATTTGTGTCACAAAGAACATTTTGCTTTTAAACAAACTAATTATCGTTATCTATGATAGTAAGATAGATTATCATAAGTATCACAAGGAGGAAATGACTTTCCTTTAATATTTGATTGACACCTTTTAAACATCGCATTACCTCTCCCATCACTGAGTGCTGTGCCCCAGCCAAGCTGGGGCGGGGGGGGGGGTCCTTCCTTTGTCCATTTCAGATTCAAAGGCCTATATTCCTGTTTGGGATTACGGAAGGATAAAAAAAATTCAGACAAGCATCTGTGACAGTTACAAAACAAAATCCTGACAACAAACACTCCCAGGATTTGGATCACGACCCCTTCTGATACACTTCCACGGGCTCCTACAAAGTCGTGTCATGAAAACTCACAGTGCAGAATGACTGGCGCCTGAACGGTTCACACACAAAGGGCTGGGGGGTCCCTTCTTGTCAGTTTGGCATCGAATTCCCTCAGGGTGGACCCTCGCATTTGACATTTTGTGGTGGCTTTGTTTTTTTGTTTGTTTTTGGAAGTGTTAAGGATCAGTTCTGTGGCACCATGTGGCCACAGACTGGGAGCAACACGCATCTGTGGCATTTTCAAACAGACTTGGCAATTGTATGACATCGAAAATGCATATCACACGTACAGTGTCTAGACTTTCCTATGTGTGCTCAGTTACAATTAGTGAAGCAAAAGTATACATATCACCCCTACTGCTATTCTTGTTGCTACAGAGCCATAAACGTGAAAAGCGATACTCTGAAATAAAGATTTTTCTGTTGTTGTTTTGCCCTAGCCTACTTAGCAGCACAGTTTAAGTTCAACACAAAAACTGTGGTTGAGATGCTTGTCTTTCCGAAGATGTAAACATCAGTCCCAGTGTCGTAAACTTGGCTGTATCGAACGAGACAGGAGATCTGAGGCAGAACGACTATCACACACTAGTAACAGAAGCTTGCAAGCAGTTGGAAGGTTTCTGTAACTTCTCAGCTTCACTTGGGGGGGGGTCCGTACTTGCTCGGAAACTGAAGGCGGGGCCAGCTCCGCCGTGGGCTGGGCTCCAGGCAGGGTTCTGACGACGGTTACTTTCAACGATGCTTGACGTGTTGGAGGCCAGGCTCTCCCGAGTGCTAAAAGAGTAAAAAGGTTTCATTTCGTTTTGTTTTGCTTTGAACATAAACAATTATCTATTGAGCCCCAGAGGAAGAGCAAATGATGGAGTTAATGGATTTCCTCTGTGGGTTCACAATGTCACGTACGGACCATCTCATACTGATTATTCACATGTGCTCCTCCAACTTGAGCTCCAGAAGTTTTCACAAGACATGGAACAGCAGCATACTGAACACAGGGTTGCTACACAGCTAAGTGCACTTGAAGTATCTTCCCTTTCCTTTCACATTCAAGGAAATGCCTTCAAAATTTGATGCGATAGATGGTTATCACAATCATTTTTAAAAAAAGAATAGTCTTCGTAAATATACATAGGTGATGATTTCATTTCAGGCTAGAAAGTCATTGATCTAACTGCTCCTGAATAAATTCAATAATTTTACCCTAATAATTCTGTTTTCCTTCTTGATTAGCAGATTTTTGACTTTGGTGGTGGACTTCAAGCATGCCACAGCCAATTTGCTGCACCGATGGGAATAAAATTCTTTCAAAACTTTTCATATCTCTGTTCAAATTTATAATACTTTAGTTGACATTCTATTTTCAGATAAAGAATCTTTGATTTCACCCATTTACAATGATTTCCTCCCTCCCCCCATTTCTGTAGAAATAACTTTATTTTTTAAAGAATTCTTATAGCATAGAGGTAATTTAAAGGCTTCAGTATTTTAATTTTTCTAATTTAGAAATAATTGAATATTTTATTGCTCTAAGAGATTTGTAACTTTTAACATGTCAAATATGTAGAGCAAAAGCAGGAATAAGATTATTTGGCCTGACTGATGAGGGCTGAATGGGTTTCATGTTCAAGGTCCTCAAAATGGTAATAAGAAACTTATGAGCTTTTTACACAGAGGTTGAAGAAACCATAGTGATGCTTAAGTCATTCACCTACTGGATAGATTCAAGGTTTATAAAACATTTTATGTGTTGGTCCCTGTAACTGACTGAAGGTCAAATTGCACAGTGGACATCCTCACCACCTTGCTCTCGTCCCACCCTAAACCCACAGCAATTTTGTCTGAACAGTATACCTTGGCAGCCTTTCCTAACAGGCTATTTCACCCTAACCCCTGTGGCCTTAAGTTTGCTTCTCATCAAGAAACCAAGAGTTAATTGTTTAAAAGGAAGTTTGTTCACCGACTACCAAAAAGGCAAGTGGATCCTTCTTGACTGCAGATGGTACCTCCAGTTTAATACACTTCAAGAAGTAAGTCACGTTCTTTCAGGATGCTTCTGGTAAATCTGGGCATCCCTAAAGAATCCTCCAAAACATCATCACTAAAGGGATGGAACGTGCTAGACTCAGCCACTTACCTGCCTTACACCTCCTCTAAGAAAATTCACCAGTGGTTTGCCAGGACTACAATGGAGGGTCAGGGGAGGAAGGAAGAACAGCAATAAACATGCAGAACCCCAAGGATGTCACCATGTCCCTTCAGCTTCATTCTTAATCACAACAGTAACTTTTTGGCACCTGACCTCCCCGTCTCTAAAAGAGAAAGAGTTACGTGATACACTTACCCCCTGAGTGACTCTGAAGAAGAAATAAGCCATGGTCCAGAATTTGTACACCAAAAAGCTAGACAAACGTTAAGTTATTTCTGTTGTACACCAAGCATCTGATGAATTAAGTAGCCATTGTGGGGTGGCTTGGGAATCGACACATTATGAGGGACATCGCTTCTATGGGAGAATGCATTTTGAAGTGCAAGGGATCCACTTTCAAACCAGCTTTTGAGGCACAAGCTGAGCATTTATCAAGTCCCTGCTGTATGCCAGGCACTGTCAACACACATCACTGCAACAGAGGTCTAAGTTGGGAGCTACCTGTGCTCTGAGATGCCTCTGAGCACCTTTGACCACAGCCAACGCAGTAACAGCAAAAGACATACAGCACCCCAGCGTCTCCAGAGGCTATATCTCATCACCGCCGTCATAATGAGTCCAGTGTGTGACCGTCGTATCGGAGGCTCTGAATATGAACAGTTCATGGAGATGAGGGGTGAGAAGTAAGAATAACCCTCAAATTTAAAATGTCATACTCTTTTAAAAAGAGAGCTAATGGAGTGTAACCTTAAAAATAAGATTTCGGGATTTTATCGGCAGAAGGACTGAAACAAGCCTGCATTTCCCTTGGGCCCACACTTGGACAGCAGAGGCCCGGGCGGCCCACCACGCAGACACATCCCTGGCAGCCTGGGTCCCTCTAATTTTCCTGTTGTGTTTAATCAACAGGTTTTTGGCCTCAAAACTTGAAACAGCAGGCTTTGCATGTCAAGATTTTTCATGTTCAGTATTAGATGTCATAGCATAGTTGAAGTTTCTACCTTGTTTTCTTCTCAGTGCCCTTTGGTTTCCCTTTGGAAACATGGCGGAACATGACTTCTGAGCCAGCACTGAAAGCGGAGAGTGTGGAGGACCCCTTTTTCGGTCTTTTTTTTGGGTGGGGGAGGAATCCTAGCTGCTCAGTGCATTATTTACTGAAAGAGCTGAGTAAGTGGTCCACTTAAGATTCTTGTATCTCACAGTGATGAAGAGGTATCAGCATGGTAACATCTTTGGGCTGAAATACTCTTCATGCTGGAGAGTAAAACTCCCTATGACTCAGCTATTTTCCTCCATAGACCTTCCTCATGCATCAGAAATGCAACATAGTGACTTTATGAAGATGCAGAGAAAATATAGTTTAAAAATAGATACAGAAAATAACTTTGTCACCCAGATTCTAACCAAAGGATATTAAATATGAAAGGGCTAAATTTAGGAATTGTTCTGTAGATTCTCTGACTGCATGAAATTTATGGGTGACCTATGTATTCCTGTAGAGGAAATTCTGCCTCATAGTAGTGGGCAGACACGGAGCTCCTGTGTGAAGATTGTCTCCTCGGGGCAACTTCTATCTTCTACCAGGCAAAGCATGTGAACACATTATTAAGGAGATGCAAATACGCCTACTTCAAGAAATAACCCCATTCATAAATTCCATCTCCTGTACTCCAAATTTAGAGACAATAAAATATATCCTGTGGAGAGGCTGGTTCATCTATTATATGAACATTTCTGTTTATCTGTCCCCAAAGAAAAAACTTTCAATATTACGCAGTGACAGCGTTTTGAGTTAGAACCCATCAAACTGCTCTCAAAGCCTCCTTAGCTGCTGTTACTGGAGTTCTGCAATTTTCCCCTCCATGGAGGTCCGGAGGCCAAGAGGGATCTGTGAAGAGCTGGAAAGTGGAGTGTGAGAAGCACTGGGCAGGGACAGTCTATACAGCAAGGAACGGCAGGACATAGGCAGAGGGAAGGCCAGTGAATCACACCTTCCATAGCGATGGTGCTGAACTTCCACCATCAGGGACAGACTTTCAATCATGCTTATCTGGTACCCCCTTCAAGAGGAAAAACAAGGGTAGAAAAGGGAGGTAGAAAGAAAAGACTATATAAATTAAATGGTATATAAATTAAGCTTTGACTTGGAATTTTAAAATGTTTAGCAAAAATTATATCTTAGAAAAGTCACTTAATAGGCTAGTAGTTTTCAGACTGAGTGCCATGACCCCCTGAGATCTCTTAGAGTCCTTGAGGGATGGGCAAGGAGATCAGGGGCTCCTGGCCTCCCATCCACTTTAACCAGAGTGCCATCTCTGTGGTTTGTTTAGACACAGACTTAAACATATGTGTTAACTTGGGAAAGAAAGTTATATGATGATGATGATGATGATGATGATGATGATGGTAATAATAATAATAATAATAATAATAATAATAAAAGTAGCCCTTTAAGGAATAACAAAGGCCTAATATGGGACAAACAGATTAACAATTCCCAATTCTGATTTTGGGATGCTCTGTCCCAAAATATCCAGAGGTAGAGTGAAGTGACTACACCATAACTAATTTTAATTCTTAATAACTAAAATAAATACATGAAGTACATAATCACATCTGGGACTTGTTAAAATTATAAATATTGTAAAAAGTTGGGAATCGGAACTAATGGAAAATGTTGATCTCGCAGTAGTATTTCTGCATCTCAGAGTCACCAATCTGGAGTCGAATTTAGAAGGAGAATCAGGCCCTGAGTCACTCTTGGAAGAGAAGGAAGGATCAAGGAGAAAACAGAAAGTTGCTTAAACTCCCTTTTGCTGTCTTAACTCCTGAACCACTTCTGTGCGCTGGACTTGACCACTGGCCATTGCACACTCTCAGCTGTCAACCCTTCGCTGAATTACCAGCACCTACTAAAAAGAAGGGACCGTGACTAGCATACCTAACTGGCGTCAACTCTGAAGGAGGAGAAAGAAAAATGCTGGAGTGTGCTTTGATCTAATAGAGCACAGGCCCTAATCTTTCTGTAAAGAGGAGCAAGTCTGCAGACTTTTGAGTGGTGAGAGGGAGGTAGATGAGAGCCAGAGGGGTGGGCTGCACAGAAAGTCGGGATTAAAGTGGCAACAAGCTTCCAGAGCCCCTGGAAAGGTTTTGAGATCTGGATGTGCTATTATATTCTCACTAAAGGGACCAACCCCGTCCTTGAGTCACTCAGTTTATTCTCAACCCCTACCTCCCACCCCCAAGCTGACGACTCACTCTGTTCAAAAAGTCACTGTGTTTGAAGGACTTTAAAAAAAAACCAAACCCTCCTTTATCAGCATGGTGGCAATATAAACATCGAAGGGAAAAAACTGGGAAATGTTGGTCTTAGTTAGATCGGACGGGAAGGAGCCAACCCACCAGTCCAGATTGGTGATCTCTACAGCTGCAGAAACATTTGTTTCAATTCCTGAAAAAGAATTCAGAAACAGGCTGTTAACAATACAACTCACACAACTCTTAACCCTCATTCATAGAACTGAGACTGTGAAATCAGAGACTTTCTGAGTTATCTGCATAAAGCCCCGGGCCCCGGCAGGTGTGTGTGTGTGCAGAGAGACGCCTCTCCCTACCGTGGGGAGTTGAATCCACTGTCCACCGTGATGCTGCTGCTGTCCATGCTGTCCAGGCGTGCCGAGTGGGTGGCCCTCTGGTTGCTGCCGCTGTCGGTTTCCTTTGGGGCGAGGAGGGTGAGATTCTTCTCAAATTTCCTCTGCAAGTCTCTTTCCTTCTCCCTCTCCAGAAGCCACTGCATGGTGCCCACGTCATCTCTGTTTTTCTCCTCCTCCGCGTTCTTGTTTGCCCCTTCCTCAGACTCGTCGTCATCAGAGACGTTGTAATAGTCAAAAGAGGCCTCCTGGTTCCCCCCTGAATCCTGCTGACGCTGGGAAGCCGGCATGGCTTGCGGGGCCGAGGTCCCCAGGGACGGCTCCAGTTTCTCACACCGGCCTGGCAGTGTGTCCGCAGGTGTCTTCGGGTGAGATTTGAGGAGAGACAGGCTCGATTTGTGATAGCTGTTTACAGACAAGGTGCTGTGAAGAGGTTTGAACAGTGTGTCTTTGCTAAATATCTCTTTCCTCTTGTCCAGGCTGCTGGGCTCGGCGCCGTGATGCTGGACGAGGCGTCCGTTGGCAATCCCTTCAGCCACGGTGCCAGAAGCAGCTGGGCCCCCGCCTGGCCCCTTTGGCGACTCCTCCTTGTGCCCTACGGGCTCCCGGGAGGAATGTGGGGTCTGCCTGTCAGACAGAGGCAGCTTTTTCACCCCTTCTGCCACGGTCAGAGTGTCATGGTCCTCTTTGTTCTTTCCCAGAGGCGACGGCGCCGTGAGCACTGTCTCACTGGAGGTGTTGCACTGGAAATAGTCATCCGTGGCTGTTTTTGTCGGACAAGAATTGAGTTCACCGTAGGATGGCAAACTCTCGGGTGGTTTGCCTGGCTCCAAGAGGCTGCAAGTGCTGGAGGGTTCCTTGCTGCCACTGATGATCTCTGGAATACACACCTCTTTGTAGCTTGTGGACGAAATGTGAGCTCTTTGATGACTGACAGCCTGTGAAGGTCTTAAAGTACTGTCGTCAATGTAGGACTGGCTAGGGGTTTGGTCATCTTGACTACAGCCTTCAGCCAGGTCTTCAGGCGTCCCCAGAGAAGAAGCACCCAGAGGGCCTTTGGAGTTGTCCATAGACCTGGACCTCTCCTTGGCCTTGTTGGATCTCTCATTTCTGGACCTCCGGTCCTGGGTATGGCTGTGGCTTCGGTGCACTTTTGAGTGGGAGCTTCCCCTGGAAGGCTCGGGAAAAGGCATCTCAGTTCTCCTTTTGGCCAGTTCCCCAGACACATCCCATTCCGGAGTCATGGGGAAATGAGACTCAATCACATTGGCGTTGCTATGCATGATGAAGTTATCCCCTTTGTGTTCAATGATGAAGCAGCCCTCCCGGGGCGCCCTGGTAAGAGGATCGCAAAAGTCATATTCCCTTTCACCAGGGATATCCAGATGGGAACCATCCGATGGGTCTCCCTTGGACACTCGCGTCTTGCTGTGCGACCGAGACTTTCCGTGGGACTTGCGATGAGTCCTACTCTTTTTACTTCTTCCGCTGTGATGAGCGGAGGACCCAGCTTTACTCCTATGCGCTTTCTCTTCTTCAAGTTTCTTCATTAGTGCAGTGTGCCTCATGACATTTTCCACGGTCAAGTCCGGGTTAATGCGCCGAATGATCTCCATTTCCACTTCCCGAGGGATGGTGGTCGGCGTGTCCTCATCTCGCAGGGGCCACTCTTCGGGAGGAAACTGGGCGGAAAAATTGGCTAGCTGTTTGGTCTTGTCTTTTTTAAAACTTAGCCGGAATAACTTGAGCCCGAATTTTTTGGACTGTTTTTCACTGTCTTTAGGTTTGGAGAGAGTTTCCGTCTTATACGAGAAGTTGACAGTACTTTTGCTCTTTTCGGTGGGCGGCACCTGGCAGAGGGCGGGGGGGGCAGTACGGGTCTTTGCAGTCCTTGGCCGGCTTCCTCTGCAGCGTGGACGCGTGCACGCCGAGCACGTCTTCCCTGCAGCAGTGGCAAGAGTCGCAGTGGTTCCTGGGCAACGTTCTTTCCCTGACGCAGCCGGAGGCAGAGGGCGTGATGGTTCCGGGCTGCGGAGAGGTACACTGAGACCTGTCAGGTATCCTCTCGTCCAAATGGTACCATTTGCTGTTAGTTCTTATGAGGGAAGGAGTTATGAAATAAGTCTGTGGGGTGACGATGAAATAGCCGTCTGGAGTCGGGTAGATCTTCCTCTCCCGTACCAGTGTGTTCAGCGTGTGCCGGAGGATCTCCTGGCTTGGGGTGGGAACACCTGCAACCAGAGGACACACTCGTGAGGATGAAGAGGGGACGTGGTGTTGGTTCCTGATTTTTCAGAATCTGCTATGGAACAAATGTGTGTGTTCCCACCAAGACGCACACGTTCAAGCCCCATTCCCAGTGTGACGGCAACAGGAAGCGGAACCTTGGGCAGGTTTAGGCTTGGAAGAGGTCACGAGCCTGCAGCCTCCATGATGTCCTTTTCAAGAAGAGGGAGAGGCCAGAGCCTCCTCTCTCTCTGTGATTTGAGGGTACGGCTGTCTGCAAACCCGGGAGGGGGCTCTCACCAGGCACCAAATCTGCAGGTGCCTTGCTTGGACTTCCCAGCCCCAGACTGTGTGAAATAAATTTTGTCTGTTCGTTTAGCCACTCAGTCTATGGTATTTGTTACCGTGGCCTGAACAGACCAAGACAGAATCCTGTTAATTTTGCCAAGCTTCTTAGAATTATCACATAGCAACTAAGCATGATTCCAAGGTGCTCACTGAGTGTGAATCCCAGTTTTGACTAACTCTTAGGAATGCCACTCCTGACCGAACAGGAAAATACAACAGCCAGGAAGAGAGAGTTTGATCAGTTAGGAGCAGTTTGATGGCTACTGCTGTGACAAACCTTTACTGAACTGAATTGTTAAAGACAGAATCTTTCTAAGTGAAGCAAAGATGTTTTATAGGATATGATATAAATTTACAAAAAAGATTTTTTCAACACAGGCAACCAGGAAAACAGGGTTGAAATAGCCATCTTGATATTGGAAAAAATTATGGCTACTTTGATATCTAGCCTCTGTTATTTATGACTAAGCCCTAGTAAAATGAGTGATATTTTCAATTGTCTGTGAAATCCAGGATTTCACTAGAAATCTGCAGGACTCACCTACGATGGCCGTGATGGAGATTTTCGATGTTTGCATATTCCGTCACTTCCAGATTCTATTCCCAAAGTTCATTATAAATTCGGATTTTGAGAGCTTATAGTAGAGTAATCTTTACATTCAGATAGGGCTGGAACCTGACCTCTCTCCCTTTCCACATCTTTGTATCTTCCAAAGTAAAAACAGATATTTAAAAAGACTGCATGACAATGGGATGTTACTGAGACTTATATATTGCTTTAATCCTACAAATCTGACAATTATTGGAACAGACAGCACATGTATATGGTCTGTATATTAAGCATTTTAGACTGAAAACTTTTAATGGGTTTCTTTAGATTATTTCTTCTTGTTTGTGAAGAACACTGGCTGAGGGGGAACTCAGTAGGAAACAATGTAAGGGGGATGAACCGGAGACAGAAAACAGAATAAATAACGTTAACAGTCTCCAGCAAACTCAAAAGTCAGCTTTAACCCCACAAGCAGTCTTACAGGTCAGTTCTGTTTTCCTGCAGGTCAGCTTTGTAACGACTTTACAGGTCAGTTGTAACGACTTAACACGTACTAGTCCACTTTAAATGAGCATTCTGGATGGAGAAGTACCTATTTAGAATGCTAAGAAGCAGTAATTATTCTTTCTAAACCTTTTAAAAAATATTCTTATTTCTATATGTAAACTGGTATATAAAAGTTGTTTTCAAAAACTCAACCCACATAGATGATTAACGGATTTAAGTTTCAGCATATCAGGCATTTTTACTAGAAGACTTTCCACTAAAAACTTTCTTTAGACTATGGATGTCCAAAACAGGAATAGAAGCCAAAATCCAGACTATTCTTTTTATGTATAACATGCATATTGAAAATAAGAGTTCAAATATTTTAATAATATTCAGACCTCAAAACTTTATTTTCAAATAGTAAATTATGAAAAACTAAATAGTCTTACCTTTAAATAACAAAAATACAAATGTGATATTTAAATCCCTCTGAAGTTCCAGGATCAACTATAATTAGTGAACCCCAAAAGGAGAAAAAAATCACTGGGAGAGAAATATAGTTCCTCTGGGGCAAAAGGAAAAGTAGGGAGACTGAACATGGTGGATCACTATTTAGTTTAGAAGTCATCCTTCTGCCCTCTCCCCATGGCGGGGCAGTGCCTTTTCCTGCACCTTGACCTTGAGTTGGGCTGGGTTGGCTTTGGCCAATGAAATGTTAGTGGGTGTGGCATGGCCAGAAGGCCGAAGAGCCCCAGAGCCCCAGAGCCCCTGGACTTGCTCTCTTCTGCCACTGCCACCCCAATGAGCAGAATAGATCCCCTTTTCCAAAAGGATGGAGTACAGGTGAAGCAGAGCCACCTAGTGGGGTCAAGCTGGCTCAGTTGACTCGTGGAGAACCCACAGAACCCATGAACTAAGTTAATGTTCACTGTTATATGTCACTGATGTTCTGACTGGTACCCAGCATTCGTGTAGCAAGAGCTAAGGGATACAGCCAACAGCTCATATTACTGAGGTCTCATGTCTCTTTGGGTCAAATGAAAAATATGTCAAGTGTTCATTTTTACTGTAAGCTCTGTTTCCATCTAGGCAGGGGTTGCGTTCAAGCCAAGTTGGCAAATTTGTGGCCCGATAATGTGTTTCATTCGACTTGCATGTCGTCAGCACGCACATGTTAAAATGTACACACACCAACACACAAAAGTGGCCACTACTTAAGGGAAATCTAGAGATTTCACATAAAATCGAATTTCCAGATTGTCTATAAAAATTAGAAGGTTTGGCAACTCTGGCAGGGTTCTGTGCTTTTTGGGGGAGGGGATACTGTACACTGGAGCTGAGTAGGGGGCTGCCTCTCTTGAGATGGGACATGCATTTTCTCAGCTTAGCACCATGCCTACATCATTTGAAGGCATCAAATGCTATTTGTACAGCAGCTGGGCTATTGTCTTCTTTTTATAATAGTTAAAATAAGAGAACCATTTTATTTTTTCTTCTAAAATAAGATGAGTTTAACTAATTTATCAAATATCATATTCTTAAAACGTGCCAGGCTGTGACCCAAGCAAGCAACAAGATACTGCTTATTTTTGACAATACTCTCTCTGCAGTTGAATCCCTAAGGACTCAAATTTTCAGCTGCTTCCGACTCGGTCCCATGAATCAAGATGTTCACATACTTTAAGAAGGTTGCGTTGCAAAGGTTAAATGGAGTTTTAGCAGGTTTTGCCTCAATTCTTCATGAATTCTGATTTAATTTCCTTCCCTCAGTGCCAATTAAAAAATATGACAGCTGAAGAAGGCAAATGATTTTGAAGTAACACAGGTGTCTTGATTTTTAATTCACAGAATGAAGAGAAGTTTCTGGTCAGTTTCGGCAAATAATTTTTTTCTACTGCATTTCATCATGGGAGGAACAGTCCATATGAAGTCAGAGAGCACACATGCATTTGGAAAGTGCCTCCTTCTTTTCCCATTACCTGGGAAACAGGTGGTCAGGTGCTCCATCAGTGCTTCTTGGGTGACAGGTTTTCTCGCCGAGTTCATTGCGGAGATGGCCAAGCAAAGGATTTCCCCGAGTGGGATAAACTGAGATTGACTGATGGGAGACATACTGATTGGTGATACATCACCTGCGGAAAGACAATTTTCAAGTAAGCGGTTCATTAAGACCCAGCCACTGTCACGCACACACCCCTCCCATGACTCCCACCCATATTCCCTGCGCTACAAATACAATCAACTCTCAACGCTGACGTGCGTTACAGCCTCAGCCACGTCCGCTGGGGGCGGGGGGGGGGGACTTGCACAGAACAGCCGAAGCTCCAATTGCCTTGACAAAGAAAACTTGCCTTTAAAACCCGAGAGCTCATTTACATAACCTTACTACGGAAAGGCTTGCAACAACGACGCTTTTTAAATGATCGCTGTTTTTCTTAACTTGGAGCAGATTTGTTTAATATCTGTCATTCACATCTAGACACGTGCATCTGTGGTAACTTGGGGATTCATTCATTCAAACGCTGAGTGCCCTCTGCCCATCAGGCAAGGGCTGGGAGCCTGGGATTCACCTGGGACAGTGAGTCAGCGCCCCTCCCCCAAACATCTCTGCCCTCAAGGAGTTTCTATGTAAGTGGAGGAGACAGACAGACCAAAGTTCACCGTGCACCAGAGAAGGCTGGGGCAGAGCCGGGAGAGGCGTGTACACCACTTGAATGTGAGGGTGGGGCTGCGTAGAAGCAGGAAGTGAGAGGTTTTACCAAAGTCGTGAACCTGAATCTGGTGCTAAGTAGGAGTGTGCCTGGCGGCTGCGAGGCACGGGGTTATTTTCTGGGGAACAGTAGAGATGGAGGGGGACAGGTATGTGGGGACAATTATGAGCAAAGAGCTGAGTGCCTGCCAAGGCCTTCATCCCACGAAGAATGGTGAGCCAGAGAAGGGGTTTAAGGAACGCCAAAGTCAGATGTGAATTTCAGAACGATGAGTCTGGTGGTCACGTGGAGGAGGGACTGCCCATCCAGGAGGGCCTCCCGCACACATTTGCATTTAAAAGAGCCAGCGCCGGCTGGAGAGGCTGCAGACCCAGCAACAGGGAGCCTCTGGGGCTCCTGGGGAGGTGTCAACATCCAATGCACATATGTGTCTTCCCTTCTGCCATCTTTACGTCACCGTGTGGCGATTTTCAAGTCCTGTTGCAAGGAAGGAGCCCTAGCAGTCCCCAGAAAGGCTTCTGGGGTGGGGGGCGTGCAGCAGACTGAGAGGTGGGCGGGCAGGGAAATCTGCTCCTGACATCTGGGTACCACCTGTTCCCTACCTGGGGTTCTGCACGGTTTCACTTGAAAAAGGACCTTCAGAAAGGGGGTGAAACTGTCAGCAGAGTAGAATAATCTGTGAGCTTCTAAGCTTCTTTCTCACATGTATTTACATAATCTCTCCTCTTCTCTTTCCAAGTATGATTTCACTCTTGTAATACATCACTGTGGCTGGCCAGAACCAAGACTCGGGTGGGTCTGCGGCACCGAGCGGCACCTTCCCAGAAGGTCTCTGGGTGCTCTGGGATGGACCAGCCTCCTGACCGTCACAACCCCTAGTTTGATGGACTGGATATTATGGTTTGATGCATGAAACCAGGCAACAGGACCTGGGAATGAAAACCACCAGGTGAGGGGGTACGTCTAACAGGTAAACCAGACGAAGGAGCAGGACCCCAGTGGCAAAGGCCTGACCCCTCTCCTCTCCAAGCCCAGCTTAGTCCAATGCTCCCCTCTCTCTTGCATCCCTCAGGGCTCCAATCAGCTCTCCTGTGGCTCCATTCTCTGCAAGGTGGGTAAGAGAAGAGAGTGACGTTCCCCCAGTGGCCAGAGGGAGCGGGGAGTACCCCAATCCAGAAGAGATGTCCAGCAGAGAGAAAAATCAGTAGAAACCAGGAACTGACCTAACTTTGAACCCACAGACTTCTGGGGCCTCTGGGATGGAAGTATCATAAAGAGACAGACCTCTGAGAGATTCCTGCAATTATCTGATGGGGACAGCGCTGGGTAGAAGCTAGAAGGTGGAATTTTGGTGCTGTTACAGGGGGTGGTGAGTTTCACTCACTGGCTGGTGAAGGTCAGTTCATACCGGTGACTCAAAAATGACAGAATTATGTGGGCTGGGACCATCTCAGCGGGCAAGTTTGCTACTACCTAGAAACTGTTGCACCCTTCATGCAAACAAACCTTTATTCTAAAGGCTTCTGTGTAGAAGATGCACTAGCGGTGATGGTGAGATCCAGCGGAGGTGGGAGTCTGGGGCTACCTCCCCACGGTGGCCTGTGGCTCAGCCACTGCCTCTGTAAAGACCCCTCCTGTGGATCCTTCTCCCTCCCGCCACCTGCTACAAGGGAGCACGAGGGGCAGTAAGGCAGGTTTTTGGATGAGTTGGCCACGTGGACCTCAAAGGCACCCAGAAGGATTTTATAAGTCAGATGAAAAGGACAGCGGGGTCGGCCGACAAACGGGGAGATCAAAGAACATTCCAGAACCTTTGGACTTGTGTATCATGTGGGAGGCTAACACCTTCTAGAATTTGCCCATCATAATTAAGGACTTTTCAGAAGATTAAAGATACAAAAATATGAATTAAAAAAAACCGCAGGTCTATTTTCTGATTTTGTATAGGTTATATGGAACTTAAATTCTCTGTGAAAAGAGAAATGACAATTAGCAAAATTAACTAGTTTAGGTCACGCTTGTCCTTATGCTTTTAGCCGAAATTATTTGTTTAGTGTAACAAATACCGAAAGTTCAGCCATCTTCTAAGTTAATTTCTTCTCATTCACTGCAGCCAACTCTAAGGGGCAAGCATGCTCTACGTGTCTCTGAAATGTGTCTGCAACTGAAAAGGCTGTTTCACTAAAACACTGAACATGTGCAATGACTTTTCACTCAGGATAGAGAACCAAATGGAGTTTGGATGCGCTAAGTGACTCTACCCACGTCCGCTCATTTTTATTTTGCCCCATGATAAAATACTTTTCACTCCTGTCCCAACCCCCAGCCCCACGGGCCATCACGTCTCCTCTACGCCCAAGTGTCTCCTGGGTCTCTTCCCTCCACCCCATCTCCCGTGCTACCCCCGCCCCACACCACCGGCACCTCTTACCTGGCTCATTATAATGGCTTGATGGCTCCCAGCTCTCCCTCCCACCCAACACTCGCTTCTCCACAGAGTAGCCAGGTCGTCTTAGAAAAACCCAAAACACCGCTTCCCTGCATGAAATCCTACAGTTGACTGCTGACTGCGCCGAGAAGGAGGTTGGAACTCCTCACCAGGCCTAGATGGCTGGCGGGCTCTGAGCATGTCCATCCCCTCTAGGCCCATCCCCCCATCCCTCCCCACCTCCTTCCCACAACAAGCTCTCAACTCCCCCTGTTCTTTGAACTGGCCAAGCTTTTTCTCCACTCAGAGTCTTCGCCTTGGTTGAACCCCAGCCCGGGATGCTCCTGGTGCAGGTCTCCGTTGGACGGGCTGCTTCTCCCACTCTGGGTCTCCATTTAGACGGGGCCTCCCCAGGGAGCCCTGCCCTGGACACCCGATCTAATGCTGTCCCAACACCACAGGGCACTCTCTCTCATGTGACTCGATACAGTGGTTTGTAATAAGAAATAGATGTTTGGTCCTCGTCCTTATTTCTAGCACAGAGCTCCTAAGACACTAGGACTTTCCTAAGTGATGCGAGAAATCAAGGTGTCTCGTTACATCGATGAGGGGACTTTGGACCCGCTCCTAAGGGTGTGGGCTGGTAGCCAGGAGAACCAACCACGTGGTTAGAGAGCCGGAACGTTCAGTCCCGCTCCCTGACCTCCGAGGAAAAGGAAAGGGGTTTGAAGTCGAAGCAGTCCCTGATGGCCAATGATTTAATCAACCAGGCTCATGTAATGAAGCCTCCATAAGAGGATGGGGTTTGGAGAGCTTCCAGGCTGGTGAACACGTGGAGATCTGGGGGGGAGCAGGGCACCTGGAGAGGGTGTGAAAGCTCCTTTCCCTTGCCCTGCACCTTGCCCTACACACCTCTTCCACCCGGTTTTTCCTGAGTTGTGTCCTTTTACAACACATTGGCTCTCCAGGAAGCACGATGTTTCTCTAAGTTTCGTAAGCTGCTCTAGCAAATTCCTGAACCCAAGGAGGGGGTCACGGGGGCCTTCAGTCTATTGCCAGTCTTTCAGAAGCACAGGTGACAATGCGGGCTTGCAACTGGCATCTGAAGTTGCCGGGGGCAGTTCTGCGGAACTGAGCTCTCAACCCACGGGATCTGATGCTTTCCAGGTAGATGGTGTCAGAACGGAGGTGTAGGTCACTCAGCTGTTCGGAGAACTGCTGGTGGAGTGAGCCCCACCCCTCCACTGGCACTGGTACCAGGGTCTTACCAAGTTACCGTCTTCACTCTGAAATGTGTGCACATGTGTTTGTGTGTACCACCAGTTCACTGTCTGTCTCACCCACCAGAATACAAGCTCCGTGGCAGAAGGAAACGTGAAGGCCCATTTTTACCGCATTCTCAATGTCCAGAACAATGCAGTGCTCACACCAGACACCCAGTACGTGTTTGTTGAATGAATGAATATCCGTTTATAACATTATAATCCAAGGAATTGCTCGGGGCATTTAAAGGGTTGTGATTTTACTCAATATTGTGCTAAATAATTGCAAAACAATAAATTTAATGAGAGCCCAAATATACTTAACCATGCAATTTCTAAGACTGCCACTATTAATTTCATGAACAACAGTCCCCCCAAAACACAGCAGTTACCACAGAAAATAATTATATATTTAGTGAGGTTTAAGACATGCATTTAAGATCTATATAAAAGGAATTATAGGTACCAATCAATACAACCTAACACATTATCCAAGTCTACCATGATTTTCTGTGAATCTTATATCAGACCTACTTAAGGAGCCAACTAGTCTTTCTTAAAATATGCTACTAGAAAATGGACCACATTTATGGTCAAAGAAGAAAACAAGGAAATGTAAATACTGCTAAATATTGCTAAAATATTGTTGCTAAAATATTGGTGGTCACCGTAATCTACAGAAACTGCCACACTGGCATAAACTATGTCTTGTTACTTGTCTATAATTTATA